CTTGGGGACGTGGGCGACTGCCATGGAACCGAACACCCTAAGCATGTCCACCGGCAGCTTCCTCCCAGCCACCTCTCTAACGGCACCCACGAGTCATTCCCAACCTTGGTGAGCACCCTGTTCCTAGCGACGGTAGAGTGCCGAACAGCATGGGGCCACATCGAGTTGCCCAGCCCAGATTCTATGAGCAGCGCCCTAGCTGTCTCCAGAATTGTCCGGTTCGCCCGTTCTGCTACACCGTTAGACTGTGGGGTGTAAGCCGTGGTCAGCTCCCTCTGAATGCCCTGCTTCTTGAGCCTGGCCGTCATCTCAGCTCCAAGGAACTCACCACCCCGATCTGTCCTAATCCGCTTCACCACACACTCCGCTTGCTTCTCCACGAATGGCAGCCAATCTTCCTGTATCGTGAAGGCGGCGTGGTCCTTTTGTTTCAGCGGATACGCCCACATGAGTCTGCTCCAATCATCAACAATGGTTAGAAAATAATGCTCCCCCTTGTGCCCTTGCACCGGCAGCGGCGCCACCAAGTCCATGTGAACCAGCTCCAAAGGCTTCTTGCTCCTGCCAGACACACTATGGAAGGGAAAACGGGTAAACTTTGAGAGCAAACAGATTTCACAGTTATCATCAGGTGGCTGTCCAGTCAGCTTCAGACCCTTAACAGCTCCATCTTTCTCCAACTGCTTCAGCAAGGGCATTGCCACATGCCCCAAGCGTCGGTGTGCCGTTGCCCAATCCGTCTCCCCAGATCTGGCCGATACTTTCACACCAACGGCTCCCACGGCGTTGCACTCCCCCTGGGACGCAGACCCCTCTCTAGCCTGCCCCCCACCGTGCCACGCCAATGCCGGCAGCTGCCACATGGATCTATATACATCCTTGCTCTCGTGCAGATCCCAAAGCACCCGGTTGCCCAGCTGCCCCTTGTAAGTGCGTGCCCCATCCGTGCTAGTACTCACCCCAGCTTTGGCGAGCTTACGGAGGGAGATGAGGTTGGCCTTGAGGTCGGGAACAAGGAGAACGTTGTGCAGCACCACCGGCTTGCCATCCGCTCCCTTGAATGCAGCTCGTCCCGCACCAGCCACCTTCAACGCGTGTCCAGAGGCAGAGCACACCTCAGAGATTGGTGCAGAGCGTAGGTCGTCTAGCAGGTCCTTGCGCGGCGTCATCGTCCACGCAGCGCCCGTGTCCAACACCCAATAGTCCAGGGGGTGCAGCTCTGCTCCAACCTTGGCAGAGGCGTCTCCTTTCCCCCCCTGCTCTCCAATATGGAAGAACGGGCCCGCGGTGCGCTCCTTCTTCTTCTCCACACCGCCGTTGCTCTTTGGGTTGTTGTCGGACGAATCGGCGACCATGTTCGCGCCGCTTTTCTGGTTCCTCCACGCGCCGCCATCCTGGTGACGATTCTGGGGGGTCCATCCATCGGGTTTCTTATAGCACAAAAACCAGGGGTGCCCCTCTTTCTCACAATACCAGCAACTCCCTTTCATTTTGCCACCAGCACCCGACTTCCCCCCCCGTCCAGATTTCGCACCGCGACCCCAACCGGTACCTCCTTGTTGGTCTTTGGAGTCGTCTTCCTTCTTTGGGTGGACCTGAAACGCTCTGCTCGACGATGCACTTGTCGAGCACAATTCTGTCGACCATCGATCCGTCGAAACGCCAATTCTGCCACTTCCGTCGACCAGCGAAGCTCGTCTTCGACGCCGATTTACTCTCGTCGAGGAGCGCCTCGTCGACGGGCACTTTCGTCGAGCAGAAGAAACACTTCTTCCTCGACAATTAATCTCGTCGACAGACGACTCGTCGCACACAGATAAAAGTCCCCAAATTCGCCGATGACCAAGAGACGAAGCCGTCTGCACACCGTTGTGCTCCCGGAAGCATGGTCTACCTCGACCAAGCGAGAGCGGGGCCTTTTCTCTTCGACACTCATCCCCTCTGACCTGGTTTCAAGCTACTCTAATTTCCTTGTGTGTTTCTTAGGAGAATATTGGGATTGAGTTAAGTTTCAGCTCCAGCATACCTTCTAGTGCGCCGAAATTCGTAACTCACGATTTACTTCACCTTTTGTTACGATTCAAATTGGGAATTGTCGCAACGGTCTAGTGCTACAACATATATGAAATTGGTGAAGTTGTAACAGTGTGTTTTTCATCGACGGCGTTTCTTGTGAAGTCGACATTTCTGTCCTGAATTTTTGTCCAACGATTTTGAGTTATTTCGGCCCCTAATCTTCCTAGACTCCGTCCTTAAATCCTAACAGGGTGTGCACTTGGGGATTGCAAAGGACCATAAGGGCTGGCTGCTATGGGACTTGACCAGCCAAAGGCTCGCTGTTTCGAGGGATGTGAAGTTCCTTGAGTCCTTGTATTACAAGGAGTAGAAGCAGCAGCAGCAGCAGAAGCTTCCTACTACACCACTCATTGTTGAGGCCGATGAGGTGCAGCGGCCTTCGATGCAAGTGGAATTTTCTGTCGCTGAGGAGGAGATCTCTGGGGTGACTGAGGATGGTGGAGAACCTGAGGTGGAGCAGCAGCAGCAGCAGCAGAAGCAGCCGCAGCAGCAGCAGCAGCAGCAGGCGCAGCAGCAGCAAGATGCTGCACCACGTGCCCCACGCCCGCCTGAGCGTCCTAGGAGGGATGTGCGCCCTCCTGCCAGGCTGACCTATCCGAGTCGTGGCACGCCAAAGGTGGTACGGGCTGGGAGTATGGCTGAGCAGTGTGATGAGGATGAGGTAGCACACTGCTACAGGGCAGCCGTCCTTGAGCCCAAGACGCTAGCAGAGGCACTGAACGGGCCCGATGCTGAAAAGTGGAAGCAGAGTGTGAAGGAGGAGTATGAATCTTTGCAGGGGAATAAAAAGTGGGAGTTGTGTGAGCTTCCTCCTAGGAAGAAGGCCATCTCTTCGAAGCTCATTTTCATGCACAAGTATGGACCTGATGGGGAGCTGACCCGCTATAAGTCAAGGCTTGTGGCAAAGGGATTTCAGCAGACAAAGGGGAAGTACTTTGACGAAATCTTTGCTCCAGTGGGGAAGGGCACAACACTGAGGGTGACATTGGCAACGGTTACAAACCGTGGATGGAGGATCAAGCAGATGGACATCACAACTGCCTTCCTCAACGGGATCATTCTGGAGGAGCTGTACATGCAGCAGCCTGAGGGATTGGATGATGAGAGCGGCAGGGTGTGCAAGCTGAAGAAGGCCATCTATGGTTTGAAGCAGGCTCCTCGCGCATGGTACCACAAGCTGGAGGAGACACTGCTGGCTGGGGGAGTCAAGAAGAGCCAGTGTGATCACAGCTTGTTCCTGTTGCAAGAGAAGGAGCAGTTCCTCATGCTCTTGGTGTATGTGTACGACATCCTTCTCTTCTCTGATCCGTCTGGTATGATTGACCGTGTGGAGGAGATGCTGGAGATGCAGTTCAAGTATTCGAAGATGGGGGATGTGAAGTATTCCGTTGAGATGCATGTGGAGAGAGACCTTGACAAGGGAGTGTTGAGGTTGCACCAGAGGAAGTACTATGAGGGGCTGGCTGAAAAGTATGGGCTGCAGGATGGAGGAAAGCCAGCAACCCCACTGCCTTCGAGGTTCACTGTGGAGCCCTGTGCTGATGAGGAGGTGGTGGGTGAGAGCGACAGGAAGCTGTTTCATTCCATGGTTGGGGCACTCAACTATGCGGCGAACCACACACGGCCTGACATTGCCATTGCTACATCCAGGATTGCCAGTGTGGTCTCACGCCCCAGTCATGAGCAGCTGAAGCGGCCAAGAGGTTGGTCCGCTATGTGAGTGCTACAGCATCAGTTGGTTTGGAGTACAGTGATGTGCGACAGAGACTGCAGCGGGGTGCAGCTGATTTGAGCAAGGGGGAGATTCTCTTGACCTGCTACACTGACGCTAGCTTCAACTCTGTGAAGGCGGATGGCACCAGCATTGGAGGCTATGTGTGCTTGTTTGGAGGTGGTGCAGTGAGCTGGCGCAGCAAGAAGCAGAATGAGGTGGGGCTGTCTTCATGTGAGACAGAGTACATGGCCCTACATCATGGGGCCAAGGAGGTGGTGTGGCTGAGGCGTTTGTTGGAGGAGATCGGGTTTGGACAGAAGGACCCGATAGTTATCTTCTGTGACAACGAGTCAGCTGTGAAGTTGGCCAAGAATGCTTGTCTGCATGGACTGACAAAGCACATCAGGCCTAAGTGGCACTGGGTGAGGAGGCTCCAGGACAAAGAAGTGCAGTTGGAGATAGTGAAGACCCAGCAGCAGGCGGCTGATATTCTCACCAAGCGCCTGGCTGAACTTGCGCATTGGAAGGGCATGAAACTTGCTGGAATGAGTGTGCATTGAGGGTGCATGCATGGGCTGAGGCATGTGGGATGATGGTTGGCAGCCAGAGGGGGAGTTTGTTGTGTGATGCTATGATATGCATTCACGTCTGTCTGCCTCCCATCCTATGTTCGTCCGTTGCATGTGTGTTGTATGCGTGAGTAAGAATTTGTGTCTGGCATGGTTTGGATTATCTAAGTGTGTATGAATGGTATTTTGTTTGAGCAGATATCTGAAATGATTCCTCTGCTCAAGAGCTTTCCGACGAACCAAGGATTGCTTCAATCGGAGCACGAATGAGAAAGTTACGAACGTTCGAAGTTCGTATGTTCTTCAAATTTGGTTGCGGCGACTATGGGAATTTGTGGGGTGACTCCATATGGGGTATAGACCATTTGGGGTTGGGAAATTCGCCACCATCACTGTAGATGATGCCAAGTGGTTGGGAGAAACCAAACCGGGTTGGCAAGTGTGGCCAAGTTGGGTGAGGTGGATGGCATGGGTTGGGAAAGTGACAAAGGTCAAAGTTGGGGTGCCTATAGGGATGGGAAAGGTGTGCTTATGTAGTTTCCTTGGTTGGGGCCTCCCTTGAGACCTTCCCTCTCGTCCTCCTCATCCTCTCCTACCTGGTTTATAGCTACTCTAATTCTCATGTGTGGAACTTGTGAAAACTATTGTGATTGTGACGGGGGAAGTGGAGGGAGCGCATGAGAGGGGATAGTGCACGTGCGCGAGGGGGAAGGGGAGAGAACGTGACGAGGAAGGGGAGTGACAGTGACGGGGGAAGTGGAGGGAGCGCATGGGGGGGGAACGAGCATGCTAGCGAGGGGAAGGGGATAGAACGCGACGAGGAAGGGGAGTGGTAGTGAAGGGGGAAGTGGAGGGAGCGCATGGGGGGAGAACGAGCAAGCTAGCAAGGGGAAGGGGATAGAACACGACGAGGAAGGGGAGTGATAGTGACGGGGGAAGTGGAGGGAGCGCATGGGGGGGGAACGAGCACGCTAGCAAGGGGAAGGGGATAGAACGCGACGAGGAAGGGGAGTGATAGTGACGGGGGAAGTGGAGGAAGCGCATGGGGGGGGAACGAGCACGCTAGCAAGGGGAAGGGGATAGAACGCGACGAGGAAGGGGAGTGATAGTGACGGGGGAAGTGGAGGGAGCGCATGGGGGGGGAACGAGCATGCTAGCGAGGGGAAGGGGATAGAACGCGACGAGGAAGGGGAGTGGTAGTGAAGGGGGAAGTGGAGGGAGCGCATGGGGGGAGAACGAGCAAGCTAGCAAGGGGAAGGGGATAGAACGCGACGAGGAAGGGGAGTGATAGTGACGGGGGAAGTGGAGGGAGCGCATGGGGGGGGAACGAGCACGCTAGCAAGGGGAAGGGGATAGAACGCGACGAGGAAGGGGAGTGACAGTGATGGGGGAAGTGGAGCGAGCGCATGGGGGGGGGACAAGCACGCTAGCGAGGGGAAGGGGAGAGAACGCGACGAGGAAGGGGAGTGATAGTGACGGGGGAAGTGGAGGGAGCGCATGGGGGGGGAACAAGCACGCTAGCGAGGGGGAAGGGGATAGAACGCGACGAGGAAGGGGAGTGATAGTGACGGGGGAAGTGGAGGGAGCGCATGGGGGGGGAACGAGCACGCTAGCAAGGGGAAGGGGATAGAACGCGACGAGGAAGGGGAGTGACAGTGATGGGGGAAGTGGAGCGAGCGCATGGGGGGGGGACAAGCACGCTAGCGAGGGGAAGGGGAGAGAACGCGACGAGGAAGGGGAGTGATAGTGACGGGGGAAGTGGAGGGAGCGCATGGGGGGGGAACAAGCACGCTAGCGAGGGGGAAGGGGATAGAACGCGACGAGGAAGGGGAGTGATAGTGAAGGGGGAAGTGGAGGGAGCGCATGGGGGGGGAAAGTGCACGCGCGCGAGGGGAAGGGGAGAGAACACGACAAGGAAGGGGAATGATAGTGACGGGGGAAGTGGAGGGAGCGCATGGGGGGGGAACAAGCACGCTAGCGAGGGGGAAGGGGAGAGAACGCGACGAGGAAGGGGAGTGATAGTGAAGGGGGAAGTGGAGGGAGCGCATGGGGGGGGAACGAGCATGCTAGCGAGGGGGAAGGGGAGAGATGGCGACGAGGAAGGGGAGTGACAGTGACGGGGGAAGGGGAATGCCCGCGAGGGGGAAGGGGAGGGTGCGCGAAGGGAAGGGGGTTCATTGCGTGGGCTAACGGTGCATCGACTGTGTGGTAGCGCGGAGGGCGACGGTGGGGAAGCGTAGGGTCCATTATCGGGAGTACGATGATGGCGACCGTGGGAAGGGTTATGCGATAATGTGGTGGCCAATGCGCGGGACTCAATGGGTGGCGGGTCTGTTACTGTGAGCGATTCGCGCAAATTGCTTTACTCACGTGCGGTTTCCACGGAGCCTCGATCTGCAACGGCGTCGGAGAATTCCGCCATTCCACTAGCTCCATGCCCATTATCCGCTTGAGCAGACATACACGGGCGAATGAGCAGTAATGACGTTGAATTTTTCTAAGAGTTGAAGGGGCTGGCGTGGATGACGATGTGCTGGTGGTTGCGTGACTGCTGGCGAAAATGTGTGTTGTGTTTACGTCGTGCAGGTTTGTCGCAGGGAGTGCCAAACCTGACGAACCTGTTATTCACAGGTTTGGGTGTGTCATCAGGTTAGGGCGGTAGGTTTGGTGTTGAGGGCACAGTGTTCAGGTTTCGCCCAAATCACCCCTCCTCTCTTGCAGAATTTCGTTACTCGTGCACCAATCCCAGGTTTGCACTCCAGTTCAAGTGTAATACGGTTGTAAATTTGAGACGCGGGTTTTAATCCTAACATCTCCGACCCTCCACTACCAGCTTCCCCCTCCCGCACCACACAGTCTCCCCCATCTCCTCCTCTCTTCCCGCCTCCTGCTCTGGCTCCTGCTCCTGCTCTTGCTCCGACACCCACTTCACCTACCGCTACTCCTCCTCTTAAAACCTACAAACGCCGTCCTCCAGCTCCTGCTCCTGCTCCAGCTCCTGCTCCTGCTCCAGCTCCTGCTCTTGCTCCCACTCCCACTTCACCTACCGCTACTCCTCCTCCAGCTCCGCCTCCATCCCCCATCGCTTCTCGCACCCGCTCTCATGGATCTCCAAAGCCGCTCTCCCTTTCCATCCGTGTCTCCCTCAATCCTCCTCCTGTAGGGGGTGATTACTCTCTCATGCCCTCCCTCCTTGAGGACAGACATGAGGAGTTGATTGATATCGACTCGGCCATACACGCGCTCTGCTTCCTCTTTCCAGATATCGCAGACTCTCCCACCCTCAATTTCTCCGACAACCCCTCCATCCCCACACCTCTCACCTATGCTGAAGCAGTTTCTGGTCCTCACGCTGCCCAGTGGTTGGGGGCCATTGTCGCAGAATGTGAGGCCTCCATTCACACTGGAACTTTCACATGTCTCTCCTCCCTCCAGCGTCAACATCGTGAAGGGCAAATGGGTTTTTTGGATGAAACAACTTCCAAGCGAACTTCCTGTTTTCAAAGCCCGGTACTATCCCAAGGGATTCACCCAAAAGCAAGGACTGGACTTCTTTGAGACATTCTCTCCCACCGCCAAATCCCCCACACTACGCACCCTACTTGATGTTGCTGCTCGAGATGACATGGAGGTTGACTGTATGGATGTGTCTCAAGCAAGCACCCCGGGAATGGCACAACAAGCTCAAGAGCACCTTAGGGTCCCTTGACTTTCACTCATCCACCTCTGACCCCAGCCTCTTCATCCGAGCAACCCCATCCCGCTGCTTCATCCTGGTTTATGTCGATGACATGATCCTTGTCACCAAGGATCAGGCTGAGTTGGCTGCAGTCAAAACCGCACTTGGTGAGAAGCAGGCCATGAAGGATCTTGGGAAGCTGACGAACTATTTGGGAATGGAAATCACACGTGATTGCACGGCCCGCACCATCACCCTCTTGCAGATGTTTTACATCAACAACGGCCTGACGCGGTTCAAGATGCATGAAGAAACATCAATGCCTACCACACTCTCTCTCCAGCACCAGGTCATTGCACCCTCTGTTCCCTCACCTGAGCCCTGTGACGAGCCATACACCAAGCTCGTTGGATCCCTCATGTACGCGATGATGTGCACTCAGCCAGACTTGGCCTACCGAGTTAGTGTAATGTCCCGCTACGTTGCACCTGGTCGTTTCACTCACCACCACTGGTATGCCGCCAAGCGGGTCCTTCGCTATCTCAAAGGCACACATGATTATGTGCTCACTCTTGGCGGCTCTTCACCTGTTCGGCTTGAGGGGTACAGTTATTCTTCATACGCAGATGACCAGAGTGATCGGCGCTCTTCTCAGGGGTATTGTTTTACCCTTGGCATCGGGGTTGTGAGTTGGGGCTCCACTCAATCGTCCTCAGTCTCACTGTCATCCTATGAGGCAGAGCTGTATGCCAGGACCATGGCTGCCCAGGAAGCCCGTTGGCTCTCCTTCGTGCTGGCAGAACTCGGGTATCCTCAACCAACCCCAATGCTTTGGTGTCACAACGAGAGCACCATTCATCTCACCAAGGACCCCGTCTTCCACAGCCGCACCAAGCACATTGAGATCAGTCACTACTTTCTAGCTGGTGCAGCGCTAGCAGCTGAAGGCCGAACACATTGCCTCCGACTGCAACCTTCCTGACTTGTTTACCAAGTCACTTGGTCGCCAGGACCATTACCGCCTCCTCTCGTCCATGGGTGTTCGGTCTCCCTGTGGCTGATGTGTTGCAGCCTAGGGGGTGTGTTAGAATAATGCTGTCAACACATTTGTGTACTCTATTTTATATCGTGTAGGTTATTTGTAGGTTGGGTGTAGATTTGTTATCCCAACCTTATCTGGTTGGGATCCCCCCGTAATCCAACAAATCTGCCAACTCACCATTGGATATTTGCTTGGATTCCCAACCCATCCTCTCCCCTCGCCTTACCCAACCCAATGGGATGGTTACTGGAAGTGAATGAAGCTTGATGGAATGTGTGTGCATTGAGTATGCATGCATGAGCTGAGGCATGTGGGATGATGGCTGGCAGCCAAAGGGGGAGTTTGTTATGTGATGCTATCGTATGCATTCACGCATGTCTGCCTCCCATCTCATCTTTCTACCTTGCATGCGTTGTGTGCGCGTGCGTAAGAACTTGTGTTTGGTGTGGTTTGTATTTTCTGAGTATGTGTGCATGTTATTTTGTTTGAGCAGATATCTGAAATGACTTCTCTGCTCAAGAGATTTCCGACGAACCAAGGATCGCTTCAATCGGAGCACGAACGGGAAAGTTACGAACGGTTGAAGTTCGTATGCTTTGTTATTTGGTTGCGGCGACAATGGGAAGTTGTGGGGTTGACTCCATAAGGGTATAGACCTTTGGGGGTTGGGAAATTCGTCATTTCTACTGTAGTGGCTGCCAAGTGGTTGGGAGAAGCCAAACCAGGTTGGCAAGTGTGGCCAAGTTGGGTGAGGTGGATGGCATGGGTTGGGAAAATGAGAAATGTCAAAGTTGGGGTGCCTATAGGGAGGGGAATTGTGTGCTTACGGGGTTTCCTGTTGGGGACTCCTTGGAGAAATTCTCTCTCGTCCTCCTCATCCCCTCCTACCTGGTTTCTATCTACTCTAATTCTCTTTGTGGATCTTGGTTGAAACTATTGTGACTGGGTTAAGTTTATGTGGCAGCATACCCCCCAGTGCGCCGAAATTAATATCTCGAGATTTGCTTCACCTTTTAATACGATTCAAATTGGGAATGGTAGCTACAATCTACAGCTACAATATATCTGAAATTGGTGAAGTTTAACGTGTCAAACTTATATGACATAGTCTGTGTAGGCTGTAGTGGGCTAGTCAATATGGGGTACAACACTTTTAGGTTTTCCTACTTGTACCCACCTGCTTGCTAATTCAATCATCCTTTCCTTCACAATTCTGACATGGTTTCAGAGCAGGTTCCCTAGTGGGAACGTTTTTTTTAGGGCCCACCACGATTTTTTTTTCCTGCCCTGCCCGAAGCGTGCCTCGTGCCTGCCTCACCTGCGCCGTCGCGCGCCCTGCTCTAGTGCCGCCCGTCGCGGCCCTGCCTTCTCCGCCCGTCGCGGCCCTGCCCTGTCGCCGCCTCGTCGCGGCCCTGACCTCGCCGCCTCGTCGCGGCACTTCCCTGCCGCCACCCGCGGCCCTGCCTTGCCGCCCGTCGTGGCCTGACCTCGCCGCCCGTCGCGGCCCTGGCCTGCCGCCCCTCATCGCGGCCCTGACCTCGCCGCCCGTCGCGGCCTCTGCCCTGCCGCCACCCGTCGCGGCCCTGCCCTCAGCCGCTCGTCGCGGCCCTGCTCTACCGCCGCCCAGTCGCGGCCCTGCCCTTCTGCCGCCCTGTCGCGGCCCTGCTCTGCCGCCGCCTCGTCGCAGCCCTGCCCTACAGCCGCCCCAGTCGCGGCCCTGACCTAACCGCCAGCTGCGGCCCTGCCCTGCACCCGCCCCTGGAAAGCACCCGCGCCGCCCAGCCGAGCCGCGCCGCCCAGCCGAGCCGCGCCGCCCAGCCGAGCCGCGCCGCCCAGCCGAGCTGCGCCGCCCTACCGAGCCGCGCCGCCCAGCCGAGCCGCGCCGCCCTACCGAGCCGCGCCGCCCTACTGAGCCGCACTGCCCTGCCCGCGCTGCTCCTGCTGCTACTGCTGCTTCTGTTGCTACTGCTGCTACTGCTGCTTCTGCTGCTACTGCTGCTACTCTAAGGACGGAGTCTCCCTTTTCGATCACACGTCCGGTGTCTCTCCTGCACCTGCTGCCACAGCTGACAGTACGGTTCGCTCACAGTGGACTACTCATGACGCTGTTGCTCGCCTTGCTGTTCGTAGTCACCTGCCGTCTGCTGAGCGCGCGCACTTTGGCCAGTACAAGACTGCTCAGTCTTTGTAGGACGCTGTAGTAGCGCGCTACTCCTCCCCTGCCACTACTGCCCTCAGCCGCCTCATGCTGCCGTACCTGTTCCCTGACCTAGCCGCCTCTGCCACAGTCGCTGACCTCATTACTCACCTCCACACTAGTGACGCCCGCTACCGCGCTGCGCTT